CAAGAATGATGAAAAGATTGGGAGCATTATATGGGCTGGCTATCCAGGTGAAGCCGGAGGACGCGCTTTAGCAGAAATTATATTTGGTGATCATAATCCAGGTGAAGTTTCAGTTACCAAGTTCGTATGAATACAATTACTTTCCATTCTTTGAATGATAAATAGAAATGCAATTATGTATACAGGGGGGAGATTACCAATTACTTGGTATCCTCAAAATTTGACTAAAATACCAATGACAGACATGAGAATGCGTCCTGAACCATCTTCAGGCTATCCTGGACGCACTTACAGATTCTACAAAGGGCCAAAGGTTTTCGAATTTGGCTATGGTCTCAGCTACTCAAACTATTCCTATGAATTTCTCCCTCTAACAAAAGTAAGGTCTATCTAAACAATCAATCAAGTGATAAAATAGGTCTGGGATACAAGTTGGTTTCGGAGATGGGGACTGAACTTTGTGAAAATAGCAAGTTGCCAATCACAGTAGGGGTTCAGAACGATGGCAAGATGGACGGAAAGCATGCCGTGTTGCTTTTTGTGAGGCAAACAAAGGCTGGTAATGGAAGGCCAATAAAACAATTGGTGGGATTCAACAGTGTTGATCTGAAGGCAAGGGAAAAAGCTGAAATCAAATTTGATTTGAGCCCTTGTGAGCATCTTAGCAGTGCAAATGAAGATGGTCTAATGGTGGTAGACGAAGGGTCCCATTTCCTAAGCATTGGAGACAAAGAATCAGAGATTACAGTCGTTTTCTCAGCTGATACCAGCGGAGGTGCCACATCAAAGCAGGAGAGGGATATGGTCCTCCCAATAATCTTGGCATTCTTCTACATATATACATTTCTATGCATATTAGTTTGAAATTCATCTCTTGCAATGAGTTAATGGACCTTCCCAACTTTTTACATGTAAAGTTCTAGTGATTGTTCAGATGCCTGTTTTCGCAATCATCCATAACTTGATTTCAAAATACAGTAATTTCCAAGAAGAAAGCAATACGCCACATAGCAAAGACCCGTTTTCTTTTACACACGATCATACTGGTGAGGTGATTTCGACCACTCTAACCAATTTTCAGAAACTCCTAAGATTTCCTTCCATTTCCACCAAACCTGATACATTGATTTAAACAAACATGGAGGCAAGAAACTTGGATGTTTCCATTACCAAGTATTTTCAATGAATTTTAGCAACTAATATAGTATCAAGAATATGTTATGCTGGAAGTATTATTATTATTATTATTATTATTATATTGTTATTGTTATTATTATTTCATTGGCTTTTCACTTGGTTGCCAATATAGGAAATTATGGGCGAAGTTGATCAGCTGCGATAGGTACAAATACAAGTAGGCTCTATCTAGCAAGCTGGCAACTTCCCTTTTCTGATCATATTATTTGTTCTTTTTGGAATAGTATTCGAATGGTTTTATTTGAAGTGGGTTTGTTTCTAAGCTACTTTTTTAGCGGTACTTGTTTTGAATTCGGATTCGGTACTTATTATATTTCAATAACCCTAAGTAGTTACATGAAATTGTAGGAGATAAAATAAAATTGAAACAATGAAAAAATATAGGACATTATTTTTACTATAAAAAAAGTAAGGAATGCAATGAGTAAAGCATTTCCAATTCCATCTCGAATAATAAAATAATTCGGATGAATTAGGTTATATAAATGTTACATTTCAGATAAAATTTATATTAGTTGTTAAACAAATGATAGATGAAATTTATTTTAATCGTTAAAATTATCTTAGGTGTTGCCAATTTCAATAAATTTATTGTTTGACATGAGAAAAATAAAAATTTGGATTCGAAGTCTTTGGTAACTATCAATCAGTGACAACTATTAATGACTTGGATTTGATTTTTTAGTTTTATTTTTTACATTGCATGGATCAAAATAAAAGAAAACTAAAATTGTAGGAACAAAAGTAAAAGTTTTCAGAAATTTTAAATGAAATAATGTGCGTGATATGTAACTTGTAAGTGAAAATTTTATGTTTGGGATACATAATCAAGATGACTTTTCTATTTCATGTTTTTTTTTTGACATTTGTGTTGTAATAAGGGACCAAAAGAATCTTGTCATCAATTTCGCCCTAAAAACTTTACATTATGATATATTTTCTTTTATCAATCACCATTCAAATAATCACATACTTGTAAGAAGGAAATGCATCAAATGCCTTTTATAGTTAGATATGAAGTTAGCTTGCCTTTTCAATTATTTTTGTGGGCATTCCTTAATTTTATTGAAATAAAATACTTTTTAACAAAATTTGAGAATTTATAGATTTATAAATAAATATATTATTAAAATACTTTTTAAAGAAAATAGAAAGTAATTATGCAAAAATGGATAAAAATTTCTAATGTGACGTGTTTTTGACATTTTCCATCATCGTTTAAGTTTCATAAAAGAGAGCAATGACATTGACCTCACTATTATCTACCAAACTACTTGCATAAATTAGTATCTAATGAGATCATAAATAAGATCAGTTATATTTCAACTCTTGAATGAATTTAATCAAAATAAATTAATAATACATAAAACTCCATAAAATAATTTAACAAAGATAATTAAATTATATATATATATATTTTAAATAATCTTTCATTCAAATAACTTAATTTTTTAAATAATTTGGGGTGATTACAAAGATAATACATATTCAAAATATTTTTTAACCATCAATAACGCACACACACCTAACAAATATAGTTATTCGAACTCAAGATCTCGAAAAAATAACTCTCTGTTTAATCATTGAGACCACTTGATAAATTTAAAGAGTTAACTTTTTATCGTGAATATAAAATATTAATAATATACTCTATGAAGTAATCCTTTTTCGTTATTGTTATTTAAAAATTAAGAAATGGTTGGTGACAATTTAATTTTGATTCAAAAAGGCTAAAAATGTATTTAAAAAATCTGGCGATTATAAACATGGACATGAATACAGGGATAAAATAGTCATTGAAGTTTATATTAATTGCTACTCTCTTTTTTTTTTTGCCAAGTCATTGCTGATGATTCATGATTCATTACTGATGATTCATGATTCATTACCATTCATTTTTCCTCATATTTATAGTATTATTTGGGGTTTGAAAGAATCACGATAGGCACAGTAAAACAAGATAACAAGTTTTTTTTTATTATTGTTGTTATTCAAGTAATTAGTTAATAAAAAAATAGGGAATTGCAGCATATGAATTTGAGATAGGCATGGGTCGAGTTTCGGTCAATCCGATCTGATTAAAAAATTTTACAACCTTCATTGACTCGATTTAATTCAAAAAATATATACTCTTCATCTGACCTAAATCCAACCTGATTTTTGAGATAAAATTTGAACATGATTCGACCCGATCTAAAATAATAAAAAATAATATTTTTATTTAATAAAAATAATGATTTAATTGAAAAAAATAATATAACGAAGAATATTATTATAATTATTCTTAAATATATAAAGTAAAATTATATTTTTTTAGAATTAGGTCTAGTCCGATATTTTTTACATTAAATTCGAATCTGACCCTACCCGACATCATCTTTAAAAAATTCAACCCAACCTAACCTAAATCTAAATTTTTAAAAAAACTCGACTCGATCAAATCAAATTCAGATTAAAACCCATTGAATTTGAGTCCATGCCCATCCCAATATGAATTGCTCTTCCTCTAATTGTGCAAAAAGTTTTAGTTTTCTCACGCGCCTATCCATCACGTACAACCACATTGGCAACCGGAAGAACACGTCGCTGTCATATGAGATGAATTGATAGGACGGTGATACCCCTCCACCTTGGAACGCACGTGGGACTGCAATTTGGCTGCCTTAAGTTCCCCTCTAGATTAGCCCTCAAGAGCACTGAAAATGGCAGCTTCTCGTCACCATAATACGTGTGTAACTTTTTTTTAAATAAAAAATTAAAATTATTCAGCACAATTATCCCGACGATGATCATGTGGGATACCCGTGGACCCAAGCAAAAATCAACGAACATTAAGGGTGCGTTTGGTTCACGGAATATAAGATTACCAGTGGGAATGTAAGATTACCAAGGAATAGCATTACTGGGAATGTTGTATTTTGTGTTTGGTTGGCTTAGCAGGAATGTAAGATTACCGTGTTTGGTTAAAGGAATAAAAGATTATTGGAATGTATATTTGACCAAATTGTCCTAATTATATATTTGTGTAATATTACAAGTTGGAAAATATTTATATATTTTCTTTAAAAAAAATTAAATTCATAATATTTATATATTTTTTACAAAATTAAAAATAAAAAAAAGTTTAATGAAAGGGTAAAATTTTATTTAAACCCTTGAACTTTATATAAAATTTTAATTATAGATTTTTTTTTGTAAATCTAAAATAATTTAAGGATAAATTTGTAATTTAACATTCGTAAAATTTTTATTATTCGATGACAGAATAAATATATTTTTGAAAAAAAATAAAAATTTAAGGGCATTTTAGTCCAAAACGCCGGTAATCCAACAATACCTAAGGAAAGGGAGGTAATGACATTCCCGGTAATATACCCCAAAAAATCCACTATTGGTAATCTTCCATTACCGGGAATAGGATTCCCAGGCTAACCAAACGGGGGAATGTGGATTCCATTCCCATGGGAATCCCACATTCCCCAATCCAAACACCCCCTAACTCTCTAGATACAGGATTCTTCCATGCGAGTGTAATACACGCATGGGCCAAACCAATAGATCCTCTCTTCTCGCTAATTCCCATAATACCCCTAATTCTTTTTTGAAGATATCCCAGTTTGTCGGTACTATACGAGGTGGTTTCAGTAATTTCAGTTTCATTCGGTAGGATAAACAAAATAAAGGAAAAAGGTGTGGGATTCATTATTATTTTAATTGACGGGGAAATAATTAAATTTTGAACGGAGAAAAAACCGGCCGGTTAGATGGGCTCGTCATTTCCTATATAAACCCCTTTTATCCCTTCACAAAATGCATTCTAGTTTATCAGAGAAAAAGAACCTCTCCCTCGTATTCTCTCTCTCTATCCCGCTCTCTCTTTGGCTCGCCACTTTCTCTTCAGCTCTCAAGAGGTAAAACAATGATAAATTTAAAATTAAAAAATTATAAAAAAGGGGAAATCCTCTCTCTCAAGTCTCAACTTGTTTTATTTATTTGATTTGCTTTTTCGGGATATATATATTTTCGAATATTGGAAAAATGTTGGAGGAATGAAATTACACAAATTAAACGTAGCTTAATCGGAGGACAGAGACTTTGACCTTTGGATTGTTGCATTGTTTGGACAATATATCTTTGACATGTTTTGAGAAGTTATTAGATTTTCTTACTTGGATCTGCGAAAGGTTTTAGCTAATATATTTCTTCAAACTTGCGGATTTGAAAGAAATGGAAACAGAGCTCTCAAGTATTTAGATTTTACGCTCGTTTAAAACCCTAGTTTCTTTTTATCGGTTTGGGGAGTTCTGATCTGGGGGTGATTTGAGGGTTAATTTGGTAAAAGTATTTTGTGTTTATCGAGATTAAGCTTAGGTTAGTCTAATTTAGGGATCTTATGATTCTAATCTAGTTCAGATTTTATTTTTAAGATACCTACAATTGGGGCCGGGTGAAGTTCTTTAGGTTTTTCTAGTAATATTCACATTGCATATAATTTAGTCAAATTACTTGCTTAGTTTGGGTGTTATATGCTGTTGATTGGTATTGCCCGAGTTTGAATGCTCCTCTGCACGCAATCTTGTTGCTTTATTTACGTATATTACTACTTTTTGTTCTGAATGATTTCTATGCATATTGTTTGGACTTGTAGGTTTGAGAGGATTGTTTTTGAAACTTTTGATTTATTAATAAAAGTTATGTGTTTGTATGTGTATGCTTGATTCGGAAACCAAACTGCTGTCATTTCATTTATATTTCATGATAGATAATTTGCTTAATCTTTGGTTGAAACCTTATCAAATACATTGCTGTGCGTCTTACATCTATTTTGTTGTTTCTTATCAGATGTGTGAATTTGTGTTTCCTAATCGGATTTTGTTTGCTTAAGCTACCTGCTTTATGAGTTCTCTTTATCAATTACACTGATGACTTTTTACTATATGTACAGCTTGGTATGTCATGTGCATTTTTTGCTGAAACAAAAAATCAAGTAGATCCAATTAGATTTTGTCAGAGTAGTCATATAGCTTGTATGCTTTTATATATGAAATGGGCTCACGAGGGAGATTATTATTTGATCTTAATGAACCCCCGGCTGAAGATGATGAGGAGAGTGATCATGCTACCTGCGTCCAGCCACAAAAGGCACTTCCATCTGCAAATCCCCATGCTTCTGATTTGTTTGTTTCATCATCAAGTTCTCAACGAATAGTAAATAACCATGCATTCTCACATGCATCAACTGGTTCAGGTTTTCAGCCTTTTATTCGGCATAGAGGTTCTCCTTCCCCTTCCCCTGAAGTAAGCATTGAACCCAAAAGGACAGGCGATCAGAATTCCAATTTGGCATTGTCCTCCTCAATTTCAAATAACAGTGAGGAAATAAAGGCATATGTAGCAGCTTCATCTATGTCAGGTTCTGCAAATGCTCAAACTTTGGAAAGAGAAGAAGGTGAATGGTCTGATGCTGAGGGTTCGGCTGATGTATGTGGAAATTATAATATTCATGATGAAGTTAAACCTTCACAAGAGGAAGGTGTACAGGAAGCTATGGAGTCTAATGCTTTAGGTGCTACTGTTGAAACTGTTCGTGCTGCTGAAAACAGCCATTCTCCATTAAGATTGGACCAAAATCTGAATGAGCAAAAGGGGAACAGTATCCAAGTTTCAGAAGGCAATGTTAAAGGTGATATATCCATTGATGGTCGGGAAGAACCTGGGTTGGTGCCCAAACAGAGAGAAGTTAGAGGAATTGAAGCAAGTTATGCTCTGAAGTGTGCGAATAATCCTGTAAAGAGGAAGATTGACCAACAGAAAGAAGCAATGCTGGGAAAGAAACGGAATAGGAAGACCATGTTTCTTAATTTGGAAGATGTCAAACAAACTGGTCCTATTAAAACTTCTACTCCAAGAAGGCAGAACTTTCCTACACCAATTATTACACGTACTGTGAAAGAGGTTCGTATCAATGCTCAATCTGGTGAACATGCCGGGGAAAATCAAGGTCAGCCAATAAATGAGGATCAGAAGCAAGTTGATTTACCAAGTAATGATGCACGCAATCCTGCAGTGGAGTTATGTGATCCTAAATCTGAATTTAATGGTGATAGGAGTTGTGGACTACTTGCCAAGCCTAGGAGTTTAAATAGTGATGCTGAACTTTCAGAGGCTCATCTACCACCCATTCCAAGACAGAGCTCATGGAAGCAACCTATAGATTCGAGGCAGGTTAAGAATTTACAGTTTTCTAATCGAAAACCTACTCCAATCAACCAAAGCTCTGTGGACACGAAGATTGTAAACAAGAAACATCTTCTTTCTAAAAAGACAACTGCTATTAGTACCTCCTATCAAGATACATCTGTGGAACGCCTTATACGAGAGGTGACCAGTGGAAAGTTTTGGCATCACCCAGGTATATGCTGACAGATTTTCAGATAGTTGTTGACCACTTCTAAACTTCTTCATTCAAGATGTTTGTATTCTTTTGCCCTCCTGCTTTGTTTTGCTATTTGTAATTATCTTTCTCATGCCAGTTATCCATGTCCCTTCAATTATCACTCTATGAGAATGGTAACGCTCAGAGGACATGGAAGGTGATGAGATGTATGTTTCTATTGTGAAAGGTGGTTTTTAATTGTGCTGTTGCTAATGATTTACTTGTAATATCTATTAGCACTAGTTCTCATGATTTTTTCCCTGAGAATTTCAATTTCAGAGACCAATCATGCCAAATATATGTGTAGTTTTCTACTTCACTCATTTTCTCAATTATTGCTCCTTGAGTTAAAATTGTGTTTACTGAATTCTTTTTGTTATTGAATAAACTGCCACTAAAGGTTTTTTTTTATTGCTAATACTTGCATGTTGTAGGAGATTCCTCTGGGTACACAATCTTGATTTTTAATATTTGTTAAGCCTTAGAATACTAAATTGGGCCCTTATTATTCAAACGACTTTGAGGTCACTGATTTACAATATGTGATAAAAAAATTTCTTTCTTTGTTGTGGGACCTTTGGAAGATCCATTCATGGATTTCTTTAGCATGCGACTGATTTTATTGAAGCAGTAGGAGAGCTTTCGTACTTCTTTTTTTTTGGTTTCTTTTGGTATTCACAATGTTATGACAGTTCTGCTACTTTCGTGAGCCAGACTGAACTTCCATCCATCTCTATCTTTGTTTGTTTTTATCTTTTCCTTATGTTGATTTATTGAAATTTTATGTATTTTTGAGCTCTTACAATTAATTTTATCACTTCCTGCATCAGAGGATACTGAGCTCCAGTGTGTTCCTGGACGGTTTGAATCTGTGGAAGACTATGTCAGAGTATTTGAGCCTTTGCTTTTTGAGGAATGCCGTGCACAACTGTACAGCACATGGGAAGAGTTAACTGAATCACCTTCAAGAGATACGCTTATAATGGTTCGTATAAAAAGCATTGAAAGGCGAGAAAGAGGTAAAAGTCCATAAACTCTAGGTTAATGGATTTAGTAAGTTTGACAAATCTCACTTTTGTTTCTGTATAACAATTTTGATTCCAGAGTAGAATTGAGGCCAATTTGTTTTGGGATCATGAGTAAATGGTTATGCCAATTTTATTAATTGGCAGAAAATTTGTTTATGTTGGTTTAGGATGGTATGATGTGATAGTTCTTCCTGGTAATGAATGCAAGTGGGTATTTAAGGAAGGTGACGTTGCTGTTTTATCAACACCAAGGCCTGGCTCAGGTATGACATAGGAAAAAAAGTTCCTTTCAGATCTATTTAGGAATAATTACAAATTCTTGTGTATATCTTAGGAATGTTTACATCTTGTGTCAAGCAGTTAGAACCAAGTGGAACAATACCTCTTCAGTTGAAGAAGATGAAGATTCTGAGGTTAATGGACGCGTGGTTGGAACTGTTAGGCGACACATACCCCTTGATACTCGTGATCCTCTTGGTGCAATCGTTCACTTTTATGTTGGTGATTCCTATGATTCAAACGGGTATATAAAGAAATATCAATTCCTTAATGATATTGTGTAGATCTGAATGCACTTGTATCCTCATGGTTTGTGCTTCAGCTAAATTTTCCTGTGAATTATCCTCCTTTCTTTTTTCTTTTTTTGTTTTAAATCACAATAACTTGTTAACTTTTACAGCAAGGTTGATGATGATCACATTCTCCGGAAACTTCAGCCCAGGACTGTATGGTATCTAACTGTTCTCGGATCTCTTGCGACTACCCAGCGTGAGTATGTGGCATTGCATGCTTTTTGTCGTCTTAATTCTCAGGTATCTATTTTATTATGATTATTATTGTAAATATTTCTGTGACCAGATGTAGTTCTTGTTGCTTGATGTATAAACCAGGGTTAACAAAGTTTCTCTTTTACACAGATGCAAACTGCAATCCTTAAACCGAGCCAAGATCACTTCCCAAAATATGAGCAGCAATCTCCAGCTATGCCTGATTGCTTCACACCAAGCTTTGTTGATCATTTGCATAGGACATTTAATGGCCCTCAGCTTGCAGCAATCCAGTGGGCTGCTACTCACACAGCTGCTGGAACAAGTAGTGGGCTGACAAAGAGGCAAGAGCCATGGCCTTTTACACTTGTTCAAGGGCCTCCAGGAACAGGTAAGACACACACAGTATGGGGGATGCTAAATGTCATCCATTTGGTTCAATATCAACACTATTATACCTCTTTGCTTAAGAAATTAGCACCTGAGAGCTATAAACAAGCTAATGAGAGCAATCCCGACAATGTCGCAATGGGATCAATTGATGAAGTCCTCCAGAACATGGACCAGAATCTTTTTCGTACCCTTCCAAAACTCTGCCAAAAGCCAAGAATGTTGGTTTGTGCTCCTTCTAATGCTGCAACCGATGAGCTTCTTGCACGTGTTCTTGATCGAGGATTTATTGATGGTGAGATGAAAATCTACCGTCCTGATGTGGCCCGAGTTGGGGTAGACTCTCAGACACGGGCTGCCCAAGCAGTTTCCGTTGAGCGGAGAACTGAGCAACTTCTACAGAAGAACCGTGATGAAATTTTTGGACATATTCAGACTTTAAAGGCTCGTGAAGCTATGTTATCTCAGCAGATAGCTACTTCTCAAAGGGATCTTACTGCTGCAGCTGTTAATGTTCGGTCCCAAGGTTCTGTTGGTGTTGACCCTGATATTCTTGTTGCACGGGATCAGAACAGAGATGTACTGTTGCAGAACCTTGCTGCAGTTGTTGAAAACAGAGATAAAGTTCTAGTTGAGATGTCTCGCCTTCTTATTTTAGTACCCAAGTTCCGTGTCGGTAGTAACTTCAACTTGGAAGAAGCCCGTACTAATCTTGAGGCTAGTTTTGCCAATGAGGCTGAGATTGTTTTCACCACTGTCTCAAGTAGTGGGCGTAAGCTGTTCTCTCGCCTTACCCATGGTTTTGATATGGTTGTAATTGATGAGGCTGCTCAAGCCAGTGAAGTTGCAGTACTTCCTCCCCTATCTCTTGGTGCAGCAAGATGTGTACTTGTTGGGGATCCTCAACAGCTTCCTGCAACAGTTATCAGCAAGGCTGCTGGGACACTCTTATACAGTAGAAGCCTTTTTGAGAGGTTCCAGCAAGCAGGATGCCCGACTATGTTGTTATCTGTTCAATATAGGATGCATCCCCAAATTAGGGATTTCCCATCTCGATACTTCTATCAAGGACGTCTCATTGACAGTGAAAGTGTTGCCAACTTACCTGACGAGGTTTACTACAAAGACCCTTTACTTAAACCTTATTTATTTTATGATATTACCCATGGTCGGGAATCCCATAGAGGTGGATCTGTTTCATATCAGAATATGCATGAAGCAGTGTTCTGTTTGCGCTTGTATGAGTACCTACAGAAAACTTCAAAATCTTTGGGTGTGCCAAAAATCACGGTGGGTATAATAACACCATACAAGTTGCAATTGAAATGCATACAACGTGAGTTTGAGTGTGTTCTAAGAACAGAGGAAGGGAAGAGGGATTTATATATTAATACCGTAGATGCTTTCCAGGGTCAGGAACGTGATGTTATTATTATGTCTTGTGTCCGTGCCTCAAATCATGGGGTGGGCTTTGTTGCAGATATCCGTCGAATGAATGTTGCTCTTACTCGTGCCAGAAGGGCTTTGTGGGTACGGAATTCTTTCTTCTAACCTCTATATGCTATTACGTCCTAGTACAGATTGTTATCCAATTTGTTTTTTGTTTATTTTCTGGAATTGACATTAAAGTTTGAACAGGTTATGGGCAACGCGGGTGCTCTGGTGCAGTCTGATGATTGGGCAGCCTTAATTGCTGATGCCAAAGCTAGGAATTGTTATATGGATATGGATTCTCTCCCCAAGGACTTCACAAAAGACTTTCTCCCCAAAGACTTTTCAGGGCCAAGGGAACTTGGTTATTCCCCATCACAGGGTAAGGCTTCTAATACGAGGGGTTTAAGGTCTGCTGGACCAAGACATAGGTCACTTGACATGCACATGGACTCCAGGTCAGGAACACTGTCAGAAGATGAAGAGAAGTCGGGTACAACATTATTTTCTAGGAATGGGAATTATCGTCCATTAAAGCCTCCACAGGAGACGTCTTTGGATGATTTTCATCAGTCAGGTGAGAAATCTAGAGATGCCTGGCGATATGGTATACAGAAGAAGCAAAATTCTGCTGGTACAATGGGGAAAAGAGATACATAGCAACTAATTGTTTTAACAATGAACTGTGTCGCACATGGAGATCCTGGGAGTATTAACTTTATTTATAATCCTAGCGTTGAAATTTATGAAGAGCTCTCATTTCCACAAGGATCGAAACAATTTGTGGGAATTTGGCGCCAGGCTTATGTCTGATAATTGCTCCTAGATGAACAAGGCGAGAGGGATATGCATGGGTCAGTGATGAACTTAGCCAGCCCTTGAAATTGGTTCCTGCTAGGTGGTGGATGATCTTGGGGTAGGACGCATGAAATCATACCCTAGATCCACCCACCAGCTTACAGGCTTCAAAGGTAAGAAATATATCATGATGTCCATATTTTTAATGTAAAATTTCATATGATCACTATGACTAATACCGTCTGATCCAGAAATCGAATGCTGTCATCAAGGATTGTGTTGCCCACCCAACGTCTTTTTGCATGATAACAAAGAGCAAATCGTCCCAATCTTGTCGAATTACTGGAATGAAGTCTTTAATTGAATCAATTGGCTAGCCATCTCAACTTTTTTGGTGCCCTTTAGCACCATAATTTTCCACAATACGTGGAATGCATGGCTGGCTCCAGTTCTGGAATGTGAATTCATTTAGATCAGTCCACGAAGTGTTGTACAATTTATTTTGCAAATGCTACAAAATCTCGAGGATGAGTAGTGATTTGTGAAGGGGCATGACTTGGAAGCTGCCTTAAATATTTCGCAGATGCTCCAAGGTGATAACTTTTTGTAGCTCTGCAGGATACGGTTTGGTTAACTTCAAGGATTTGTTGTTTAAAAAAGCAAAAGATTTGGATGGTAATATGACATTTCTCAAAAAATTCTGTATAGAGAAATAGAGATGTCTAGGGAGAGTACATATTTTGTGCAACGAAATCTCATGTAGCTGATCTTGTGTATACAGCTTCAGCTGTGGAACCAAACAGTTCTTTCTCACCTGCTCGGAAAAGCTCAGTTGTACTGTTTTTTCAACTTGAACACCATTGAATAATGGCCTAAAGTTTTAGATGATATCATCTACTTATATATTACCGCGTCAGGTTAAGTAGTGCGGGAAAATAAATATTTGTAGTAATGAATAATGATGGAAGTTTAGTAATGTTTTATGAATTTAGGAAATTATATTAAGAATTTAAAGAATGTAAAATTATAAAATTTTAAGAGTTTAAAATTGTAATATTAGAAACAAGTTTTTAATTATGTAAAAGTTTAATCTTTTTTTTGGAAGTATGGATATTCACTTAACACACTGTTATTTGGCTCTTCTGACATGTATCTGCTCACAGACATGATTGAAAAAGTTGATGGGCTTTGCATTCAAAACTTAAAATCGGGAGTTGTCGTGGACTAATATATGACGTTACTGGAAACATAATAATATATTTAATAAAATCGATTTAGCGTTATTAGAAATGTTGAATATTAATAATGTTGTAAGTGGAAATCATGAAAAAATATTAAAATTTTTGGCAATCGACAAACTTAGTTTGTCTGTAGGTATTGAAACATTGCAAAGAAGTATTGTATCGATACATTGCAAAGAAGTATCAATACATAACAATATAACAGGTTGAAGTTTGACAAAACCGGGTTCAATTTTACAAAACCGGTAGAAATACCTGAATTATTAAAATTTGTATCGATACTTTTCTAAGTATATGCACCAAATTATCGATACATGACAATATAAGATGTTAAAATATGACAACCAGTTTCAATATGACAAAACCGGTAAAGAACTACATGATATATTGAAGGTATCAATACTTTTATAAGTATATGTATCATATTATCGATACTTTATAAATTTAAAAGAATTGCAATAACAACGCCTATAAAGTATCGATAATTTAAAAACATGTATCGATACATGACAATATAACAAGTTAAAATATGACAAAATCGGTTTCAATATGACAAAACCGGTAAAGTGTTATAAGATATATTAAAGGTATCGATACTTTTATAAGTACATGTATCTTATTACCGAGACTTTTAAAAGAAAAAAAATGAAAACGTATCGAAAAATATTGACACCTGACACAAAGTATCGAGACTTGAGTAATTGTATCGATTAAATATAAATAACATATCCGGTTAAAATATCAAAGGCATAGCTACATTTCCTCTGAAAATATATAGAACACGGCCGTAGTTTTCGAAATCGAAGCGTATTAGTTGCTGCGAAATATAAGGAAGACGTTTTTAAAGCATAGTTGTTTGTTTGTTGCTGCAGTCGAATCGAAAAGTACGTTGTCGAAACCCTAATTTTTTATTATTACAATAATTAAAAATAGGGGTTTTATGGGTTTGGGGTTTTTGAAGTAAAGAAGCATTTGAGACCGATTATAGGTAGAAAGAGATATTCTAGGTAGAAAATAAATATCGATACTTTTATATAATATTATATGTAGAAAATGATATTGTAAGTTGTATAAATGTACTGATACGTGTAGTAGTGAGTATTCTCATTCGTTTGAAGGAAACCCCAATTTTTTTAGTATTACAATATTCAAAAATAGGGATTAGGGTTTATAAGTTTAGAGATTTTGAAGCAAAGAAAGATTTGAGACCGATTAGAGTTAGAAAGTGATATTATAGATAGAAAATAAATATCGATACTTGTATATAATATTATAGGTAGAAAATAATATTGTAGGTTGTATAAATATACCAAATACTTGTTGTAGAGAGTATTATGATTCCTTTGAAGGAAACCGTATTTGATTTGATTTGAGTTAATTTAATTTAATGCTTGACTATTCGTAAACTGATTTCCCCCCCAAATGAAGTCAATGGATCTTGCAATTGTTGATCGCGAAGATGACATTGAAATGGAGTCCGAGAGTATCAACAATGAAGTAAATTGAAAGCAACCACTGAGTGGATATATGTACATCTAGTAAATATCAATGTATTTGTGTAATTGTTGTTGAAATAGTAATTGGATTAAAGTATTTAAGTAAATTTTAAATGTTGACAGTATGACTGAATCTCAAATGATGAAAGAAGCTGGTAATTACAACATTGGTTCGGTATGTAAAATGAAATTGACATTTAGTATTATTTAACGTTAATGTATTGATTAAGAAACATTTAATCAGGTGAAACATGAGGTGTTGGAGAAATGGAAGTACATGAGTGATGCTGAGAAGGAAGCGTATGTGACACGGTCCAAAAAGGATAAACAACAATATAAAGCTTGGAGGAAAGCACATGAAAAGAAAGTATTCATTAAACTTGTAAATACTGTAATAAACGATATATAAGAACACTAACATTATATATTTTTAAAAAATGTAGGAAGTGTCGACAAGGTGTAACATCGAAAGACTGAACTCCATAATTGAACACCTGAAGGAGAAGAATAAAGTTCATGTGTTGGAAGAAATGGGGTTTCAATATTTGATCGGAGTGAGGGATCGACCAATTCAGAGGGAATTGTGTCGATTGTTGATGGAAGAATTTGATGAACAAAATTGTAGAGTTAAATATGGTGATTATTTTTATCCTCTGGGGGGTTTCATGTGTTGTAGCCGTCTTGGGCTAGAAGATAAAGGCAATAGAGTAGAAGAAGTCATTAAGATGAATAACTAGAAAGCACTTGCGATGAAATATGATTTAAAGCCGAAGGTGACATATGCTGGATTTGAAGAGTAAATTAAAATAAGAGCTTACAACGGGGATAACCTGAAGGCCCGAGTACTATTGTACCTTGTTGGAATCTTTCTGTGTCCAACGGGTGATACATCCCCGAGCAAGGACAATATGAAGTTGATTTGCGATGAAGGCTTGAAAGGTGAATTGAATTGGGTTGAATATGTCCATGTCAGATTGATTGAATCAATAATTAGCTTTCAGAAGGGCCGAAGCCAGACATACCTCAATGGGTACATATCAATCTTAGATGTAAATGAGTTGAAGGATGTGTTGGGTTAGAAAACTTGTAAGTATAGTTATTATAGAAAATGATAAATTTTATTATAAATACAGGTTGTATTGTTCGATTTTTGGTCTTACTGTTTAAGTCTGCCGTTATTCCAAAGAATCAGAGTAGCACGCATCCGTGCATGGGAAAAGGAAGAAGTAGTTAGAGTGATGACAAAATTGAAGTTAGAAAGACCGAACAAGCAAGAAAGGGTAATAAAAGTAATTATATAATATTAAGAATATAATCCAATGTATTAATATTGTAATTTAATTTTGAAGGTTATTGGCAATGAGGTAGAGGAGGCAGAGGAGGAAGATGAGAAGGAAAAGAAGGAATAAGAGAAGGAAGAAGAGAAGGTAGTAAGGGGATGATGGTCAGTCCAGTTCAAGTAAATTTGACATTTTGATGTCTGAGTTGACGGAGCTAAAAAAAGTCGTTTCTAATTGTTTGCAAAGACAATTCAGAATCAAAGAGATAATTGAGAGCCTTAAGGGGGAAGTGAGTGGAAAAATTGATGGAGTGGTGAAATAAGTGGTAGAATTGAGGGGTAATGGGAGTGGTTGAGAAAAAATTGGATGAAGGGGAAAAATGAAGGCTGAAATAAAAGATATGAAGAGTTATGTGGAGGAAAAATATGATGAATTTAAAAAAGATGAAGAAGAAAAGATGGATGAAGTGAGGAGGAATGATGTTAATGTTATGCGGACACCGGAGATTGTAATGGATGCTGAGCTGGATTCAGAATGCCCTATACCCAAGAAGAAGAAGCAGAAGATAAGCTGAATAAAATAAATTTTAATTTGATTTTTATTATTGTTTCGTCACAAATATTTGTAAGCAAAAGTATAGGTTGAAAAAGTAAGAATACCAAGAGAAATTGGTGAATACGAAAGTGGAATGTGTGAATATATATGAAATAGTGGGTTACAATCGAGGTCAGTGAAATATATTACTTTGTGAGTGATATTTAAATATTTCATGAAAAAATATTAATCCAAATTCCTCATAAAACGATGCTGTAATCTAATTGGGAAATCAATACGCCACAGTATCAGACGTTGCGACGTTGAAGCCCATGGAATGGGTTAGCAGTGTGGTAAGTAGAAAATATAAATTGTTAAAATCTAGTGAATATGTTGTAATTATGTAATTAATTTTGTTAGATTATTGATTTGGTCAGCTGGGTATTGGTTAACTATTCAAATAAGATACCAGTGAATGGGAAGATTGACTACATTTCACACAACTTAACGGCGAGTTAAATTAAAAAATGTTGAAAAGTAGTGTTATAAATGACCAATTAATAATTATTGTCGAGGAAATACAAATTACGACATTGGACGACATTGCCAGTGTTGACCATGTTGCGGTCTTGTGGGATATGCCATTAAAAGATTATTTGAAATTAACCGACTATGACATGGTAAGATATCATAGGAATTGTAAATGGTGTTTTGGGAGATGATAATTTTGAATTTTGTCAAATTGGGTGTGACATTTATTGCAGATCCTTATGACAATAAACGACAATGGTTCCCATTGGTATCTGTTGGTGTTGGATATGATTTCTTGTGTTGCAACGGTATACGATAGTCTATTTTCAACTCCAGGGGCCAAAAAGAAAGTGAAAGATGCTAGGAAATTGGTATGTATGAAAGGAAACAATAATTTATAATGCATAATTTGTTTGTAATTGTCTTAAGACTGTCCCTTCTTAATATTTTAAAATATATAAATACTACCCTTAATCCAATTATGTAATCGGTTAAGTTATGCACATGAGGCTAACATGCATTTCATATGAAAAACGATGTCATGTGATTTGCTATTGAATTATTTGCATACCCATACATATGTAAACACATCACCATGCGAAATAAATATAAACAATTAATTTAAGAAAGCCAACCTAACAATGGACTAGATTAAACTAATTTTAAATTTAAAGAATTACTTTAAAAAAGCTCTAAATTATGACTAAAGTATTTACAAT